AAAGGAAAGAAAAGTTAATACTGAGCTGTGTTATTTTTTTCTGAAATGCTAATGAATCTATAAATCAAAACAAGAGTCCAACTTTTTAGTTATATATTAGAATAGGCTGAATACATTCCGTGAAGAAATACTACCAGAAAAAAATGAGTTTTTCCCCTGCAAGTAGTTTTTCACTTCACTTTTTCACTGTGAGTAGCCTTATCTCACAATTTAAAAAACAAATAAATAAAAAAAGGCAGCCACATGTAATGGGAAAGTGCTTTTCTCATTGTATTTCATTATAGTGTAGTGGAGCCTGAAAGTAGTACTGAAAGAATAACCCAAGCAAAAACAAAGTCACAAGATACAATTTCTTACACTAGAGCAACTAATTTGCTTAAGAAATGTTTAGGGCACTCACATCCTTCCTTCTTCAGTCATACCCAACTGCAGTGACCTCCTACCAACACAAAGACACACACAGCTGCATTCTGACTCAGTTCCGATAGCACGCTTGATGTTTCACCGAAGCACAATTACAATAATTTGTTTGCCCCAGAATGGAAGAACTTGGTTTTTAGGGTCCTTTTCCCACTCAGAGATTGGTATGTTCAGATCAAGATTGCACTTGAACCAAATTAAGTCCCAACACAGGTAAGAAAGCCGCTGATGCCCTTATTTTTCTACTTCTTCTATTTTACAAAGACTGCATAACGAGATCCCAAGAAATCATCCCCTCCTTACATATGTGCTAGCCCACAAGAATGCACAACTATGAATATACAATACCCCCCAAAATCTTACCATATTAGTATGAAAGGAATATTCCTAAAGGGAAAAAGTCTGCCTTCAGGGAAAAAAAAAGTCACCAAATTGATGACTGTTTAGGAATTCATCCCACTCTACCAGCAACCACTTGTCTACTTTCAAAATCCACTAAGACAGGAGATGACACAAGACAAGAAATGCTTCCCTAAAAAGTTGATAAAAATTATAACAGGAACAACCACAACAGAGCCTACAGGTTATAGCAGCATTTATCAGTTATGACAACAGGCAAATAAAACTGCTATACTTTTACAAGCCTCACACCTTCTGTCATACACACCATAATTACATACAGCACGGACAAAAAGCACAGGCTCTCTTCCTACAGTGGCCAAGTCTCCCAGAAAACATTTTCTCCCTGTCTCTCACAGGTTTTCACAGCTATATGCTGAGTATACAACAGCTTCCTATATCAAAACCATTATGGGTGTGCAGGCAGAATAAACAAATTCGGTATTTAGTTCTCTCTTCTTTAACTTTATCTTCCAGTTCCTGAGCAAAGAAGATAAAACACTGGCTCTTCTACCTTTTTCATGTAGCACCACATGTAAACTCAAGCGATAAATTTATGACTATGGTTTTTACCAGCAAAAACAGGACCAAACTAAACAGAAACGCATTTTCTCATGCCCTTCTGCAATCTCTGCAAACATCTGTATTCTTCCTATCCACATTCTGTTACGCAAACATATTAATTGGGAATTTTTGGTGGAACACATCAAGCACACTTCAAACCCCATGGAGAAAGAAAACAAATATATGGTCACATCTTCCAGATTTTGTCTTGCTTTTAATCCAGAGCCGACATTTTCTAGCACCTCTCTTCCCTCCAAAGAGCTTTCTGTAAATGCCTTCAGTATCAAGTCACATAACAGCTTTACATTGTGCAGATACGTTGGAGACAAATGTTATCCACCTTAGCAAAGGCCCAGGTGAGTGCCAAATAAACACAGTAAAGCGATCAACCCTGGTGTATCACTGAAATCCCTCACATCGCTGCTGTTGAAATCAGTGGGAAAGATTTACTAAATGCAGTTTCTCCAGCTCTGTCAAGACACTGAATGCAAAGCTGCTACGGGAGCTACTGCCATCACAACTCCTCACAGTGTTTCCAAATGAAACACACGGCAGCAATTGGCTTGTTTTATTGGTGAAAGATACAAAGTTGTTTTTATATGGGAACATTGTCAACTGCATCTGAAATAGATAAAAACCTCAATGAATTAGAGCACCTTTTGTGGAAAAGATTGTTCCTTAACTTTCCACGTGCCTGGAAGTCTACTGACTATTGGGTGGTAGATGGCAAAGCTCATTCTGCACTCAAGATGAATCTCTGTGCATCTCGACAGACCCGAATAATCTGCCTGTGACCAGACCTGCTCTAAGGCAACCACTGCTTCTTCCAAAGTAAGGAAACTGAGGAACCTGGCCATCAGTTTTGTGCTCAGGGTCCTCAAGTTCATCAAAATTCAGGCTGACCTTCACTCCTCCTTTATGCTGCTCCTGCACTCCTTGATACCCTGGTGAGCCAACTCAGTTAAAAATAAATAAATAAAATAGAATAACCCAGAGGCAATGGGGAAAAAACAGGCAAAATATTTAGCAAAACGGCTCTTTTTGATAGGTCAGCATCCTAAAGTGTGTCATCAGAAGGTCCAACAGCGTTAACACAAATGGGATGGCAACACTAGGATTGCAGTAATAACAATTTACATGGATGCAGAGGATAATAGAAATGAACTTCAGAATGTTTGAGACATGCATCCTCACAGGATACTCCTGTCAGTTCATCTGAAGAAAAAAGAAATCCTTCTATTGTTTTGTTAACATCAAAATCAAAGTTCTGCTACAGAAGGAAAACATAGAAACCTGCTCCTAAACTGCACAAGATATTTCAGTAAGTAAAGCGAATGTTTTTTGAATAAAGCTAGATAATCTATACAAGAAAGCAGCACACCTTCACTGCATTTTCAGCATGCTGCAGATACTGGCAGATGTAAATGAGTCCATTCAATCCACACGAAGTTGGGACAAATGATGGCTGCTATAGAAAGACAGACAGCAGAGGAAGGAGAGCTTTTTTGGCATAACAGTTGTTAATATAAACATCCTTCCTTATTAACTTCAAGTGCATATTATCCAAACTGCTGCTGCCATACAGGTCGAGGAAGAGAGAAGGATTTTTGTTGGCTTGCTTATACAAAGGCATTTCCGAGATTATCCCTGAAAAACAGTATGAAATGTAATCATACTCAACATTCAAATCAATGTATTCAAACCGGGTCAGAACACTGCAGAAGATATGAGGGGAAGAAAGAAAGCAAAAACAAAACAAAACTTCAGAGCTTCATAGGTAATAAGTCTAGAATCCTTGAAATGTTTCCCTCTGCTCTTTCACGAACAAGGAAGCATAAACACATCAAGTAAACCATGCATTCACAAGAAAAAAGAAAGGTCAGTACTCCATGTATTATGGGCCTGCATGTGGGGGTAAAGGAATTTGGGAAACAATGCATGCCTAGTCTCCAACAGAACGTTGTTTCTTCAAACATTTTTAGTACAAAGCATTAAAGTAACAAGAAGTAATCTAAATAATGAAGTCTAAAAAACTTTCTAAGCATGAACTTTTAAAATTAAGATTCTGGAGTTATGTTTGGATATGTACAACTTCACACAAAGGAGCAATTCTAATGATCTTAATGAAACAATTTATGCACAGGAAGTTAAACACATGCTTAAATGCTACAGATGAAAACGTTTTTACAAACATAAGGCTTTCCAATGTAATCTGCAACTTTATATCACACAGTGGCTACATCAGATCAGTCATAACCTGTAGGAAAGCAGCTCACTTGCTTTGTCTCCAACTTATAAGCATCCTTGGATTTTTTGGTTATTTGTTTAGACTTAGGCTCTCTATTACTGCAGGGGAGAATGTTGCAAAATGCTCCCAACAGGCAGAGCATCTTCTTTAAGAAAATTCTCCATACCAAACTTTCCACGATTTTGCCTCTACAGTTCAGACAACTTTATTTGCAAAGTGAGCAGAGGGGGAACCACGTCATAATTGAAGGAAGAAAGATGCTGGTACAGTCCAGTCCAGGAGAACCTTGGTGGAATTTTGTGAGCTGCTGTGTCTTTAAGGACAACTATCACACTTTCTCTAGATGTTATCTTTCCTAAAAGACAAAGAGATTTTACTCCAATAATTGATTTCCCACTACTTCACAGTGAATGAGAGCAGACTGAGCAGTCGCAGCTTCAGAGAATCGCTGTGAGTAACCAACTTGTGTTTGATGCACAGTCAAATAAAATACAGGACATTCGACCCTTTAACACACTGCTTTATTGATGCCGTACACTCAAAGGATCACTTGAAGCACACAGATGCACCAGCTGACAATCAGACCATTTGCAAATCGGTTTATACACCCAACCTGAGGCGTCGAAGCGCGACGCCACGGTAACACAAACTTACACAACCGAAACTACCCACGGAACGATAACAGAAAGCACCGCTTTCCTTTCATCACAGCAGATAAAAACCACAACCATTTTCTACGACGAGCAGCCATTCCTAAAGAGCGCACCGAGCGCCACAGCACTTCCCGACGTCAGCGGCGGCCCTTCTCAATGCGCGATAAGCCGCACGCCCCAGTAACACGTGGCGAAAAGCCCGGCCGGCCCGCAACGGCAGCGCTCAGCACAAAGCAGGCCGGGGACAGCAGCACTCGGAGCCGCAGCCCCGCGGGGAGGCGGGAAGGCCGCCGCTCCGGCTCGGCGGGACGGGGGCCGCAGCTCCGCGGGGCGCCCCGCGCGTCCCCCCGCGTTCCCGAAGGAGCCCCCGCAGCCGCCGGCGGGCCGAGGCCGCGAGGCGCCCCGGCGCGGGGCTCGGCGGGGCGGGCAGCGCCGCGTTCGCCTTCCCGCCGGCAGAAGCCCGGCCCGGGAAACGGCCCCTCCGCTCTCCCGGGCCGCTCCGCCCCGCGAAGGGGCGCCGACCCCTCCCGCGCCCCGTCGGACCGCGGAGCCCCCGCGGGGCGAGGCCGCCCCCTCCAGCGGCGCGGCGCGCGCGGAGTCTCCTCCTCCCGCGGCTGCCGACCGGAGGCGGGAGGGGGGCCGGGGCCGGGCAGCAGCGAGGGGAGGGGGGAAGAGGCCAGGCGCCGCGGAGCGGCCCCGCGCGCAGCCACACCTACCTGTCTTCTCGTGGTCATAGCCCACCACGATGAAGTAGTCGGCCAGCCTGGCCATGGCTGCGAGGGGCGCGCCTCGGGCCTCACCACCCCTGCTGCGGCGGCGGCGGCTCCCGGGAGGCTCAGCATCCTCCGCCGCGCTCCCACCGCAGGAGAAGCGGCACCACCTCAGCCATGTTGGAGGCGCGGCGCGCCGTGCGCGCCTGCGCGCCGCCGAGCCGCTGCGCCGTGACCCCGCCGGGCTGGGCGTGGGCTGCGGGCGGCACGCGGCTACGGCCCCGCGCTGCCCTGGGCCGGCCGAGCGGCGAGGGGCTCCGAGCTCCGGGCTCCCACCGCCCGCGCTGCCGCGAAACGAGGCGCCTCGCGCCGGCCCTCCTGCCCGCGGCTTTGTCCGCTCGGCGCGGCTCGAGCGCTCCGCCCGGCGAGGCGCCCGCCCCCGGGCTCGGGGCTGTGCCGCGTTCTCCTCGGACCCTGGCGGGCCGGGGCTCGCGCCGCGGCGGTGCCCCCGAGCGCTGCTCAAAAGCCAGCGGCGGGGCGAACCGTTCCGCTTCGCCTCCCGGCGCCCGTGCCGCGCCGCCGCCGCTCCCTGGGGGCCCTTTCCCGAGAGGAGCCGCGGGCGGACTCGTGGCACCGCATCTCCCGTGCGGGTTTAAACCCGGCGGCGAGCGCTGCCCCGGGGTCGCGGGCTCGCGCTTCCCGGAGGTTTCCTGTTTCCGTCCCGCCCGGGATGCGCGGAACATGGCGCTGCCGTGACACGGCCCCGGCTGCACGGCGCGGCTCGCGGGCGGTGCCCGGCGTGCGCCCGTCAGGCGACAGAGGGCCGGGGTGGGATTTCGGCTGTCCCACGCCGTGCCCCCTCCGCTGCCCGGCCTCCGGTCCGCGCTGCCTGCGGGCCTGGCGGTGCGTTGAGCGCTCGCGGACGCCCTGCTTCTGTTTGTAACGCACGGACGAGGCCGGCACCGTTTGGACGCTTACTCTCGAAAGCCCGGTCGGCCGCCTTGTCTCAGAAACGCGGCTGATAAACGGGTGTCTGTCAGCACTAACTGGCCGAGAGCCTGCCTAAACGATGCGATAAGGACCCACGTACGTCCTGTTTGACAGCGCAGAGTGAACAAACAACGTGAAGGACGCCGGTTCGAGGAGCTGCAGCAGCCGCGGTGCACGTGGAAATGCAGCAAGTTCATGGAATTCGCTCCTGGCCGTCCACCGTCCCGCAGGATCCAGCAAACAGTCATTAGCAGTGTCACACAGACGTTTCTGTTTGTTTCTAGCATGCAATAAGTACTCACACCTCCTGTGTAGCCGAGACACCAGTACAGTGCAGTGCTTTGCTGATAACCCAGGCACAAATCGCTCAGGAAGCCTTGAAAATTATCAGTGTTTTGGCTTGTACCTCTTCAGAGAAGGGCTGCAGTCCTGGAGAACTCAGCTTCACAGATTAATGTTCTTAAGTCAGATGCCACAGAGAAGGACACCTAATAAAAGTGCCTGTTGACACTGGGAGTAAATACAAAACAAAACACATAATACGTAATGAAAACAATGAAAATATTTCTTGAGATGCATGTGATGGAGTCAATCAATTCTTGTATTAGATAGGAGCTAGAGGGATTCCCTTTCTTGAGTTACACATTGACTTTATGGATCAGGATCCTCAAGTAATGACTGAAGGTCCCAGAGCTGCTTTCAAAGCATTGAGACTTCTTTGATTAAAGCATTTCTGAAGTGGCAAAAAAGGACTGCAAATCTTAATGAAGCCACACGTGAGTGGCTTGTCCCAAATGAAGGACAAAGATAATGCTCAGTACCGTGGCAGTGGATGCTGCAACTGCTCAACAGCATGAAGCTGGGGCATGCAGCAGCTTGGGATAACGTTGTACATAGCTAAACCTGGAGGAGCAGTTCAGAAATGCTAAGAAATTATCTGATGGAGCTCAAACAGGACCTTAGGGTTATCGTATCTGCACCCGTAGAAAAGTTCAATATGTAATAACAAATCTCAGTACTTAAGCCTCACTTCTGTTTTAAGCCAGCCTATGGCAAGAGAATATCACCCAACGCTTTTCCCAATCAAGAAGTGTTGCTTGCCAAGTCCCCAGTACTACTAGCACCCACTGGACACTCTTGTTCTTTATTCCACCTTGACCAATACAACCAAAGTTTGGTCAGTCTGTAGAGCATGTCCCAAGAAGAGGTACATCTTAAGTACTGGTGCCAAGAAGGGCACTGTTCTCCTGGGTCTGAGCACAGCTATTTGGCTGTGTACCTGCCTGGACTCCAATAGGATTCAGTCATCCATAGCTTACTTCTTTAACTTCCCTTTGGTAGGGAGCAATCTAATACTCTTACAGGACAAACGAGGAAGTGAAACAGACATTGTTTGCTCGCCTAAAGTCTAATGCAAAGCAAACTGAACTTTTATCCAGATCACTAAAAACAAAATTCCCAGTATTCCAGCAGAGTAGCCTGGCTCCTACCAGGCTATGAAGGGCCTCCCAGAGCAGCTTCTGTGGGTCGACACCAAGGCCTGTGTTCCCAGAAGGACCCAGTAAGCAGCTGCCTTATTTATCCTGGAGGAGGAACTGTGAGGCAGTAGCCCCTCAGGAAACAGAAAGCACACAAGTGACAATGTTGCACCAAAAAGATGTGAAGGTTCACAGTACTTTCTACAGTCAGCTCCTTCAGGAAGTACAAAGGTCACATTCAGCCTGCAGTCCCTTCATCCAGTGTCACCCAACAGTTTTCTGGCACCTCTTGCCAGAACAGGAGAGCAGCCACCATCCCAAGCAGCTTTCCCCTATCAATATGCATCCCACTCTCATTTAGCAGGCTTCGTTTGGTGCTGGCTCAAACCTATCAGACATAAGGCTCACCAAGAGCATCACGTCTCCAGTCTGACTACAGGAGATGGAATTGTCCTTTGGCACAGATAAAGCTGACTCAGTTGCCCTGAGGTGCACCATCAGTAAGGCCTTTGTGTGGAAATTGACTGGTTTTTACACCCTTCATAGGATGCCATTCTTCTGTTAGTACCATCTTTGTGCTCATCTCATACAGCCTGAGGTACAATCTGTACAGTCATACTCACTGCATATGAATTCAGTGAAGTTTGAATCAATCTGAGCTGAAACATACAAAAGCACTGCCACTGGCTTCACGTAACATTTTTGTTTTCTTCTATAATCAGCAGAGAGTATTTGTCTCAAACTGATTCCCAGCAGATGCCCACAGATTTTAGACCTTTCCTTTTGGAATAAAACATAGCACGAATAAAAGACCAACTGATCTTCAAAACCTGCTTACAGAAGCAGGTACGTGCTGTGAAGTCTGTACATAAGGTAACACTGAGAGGATGAATGACGTGCCCAAGCTAATCAGTAAACAAGCCCAAGAGCCGGGTGTCCCTCGAGGCCAGCTTCCCCATGAGGCAGCATCCGAAGGAGAGCTGACGCTTCTGAGAAGAGCCCAGACTTGCTGAACTGTGTGCCTCAGAATAGTATTTTGCAAAAATATTCGCACGGACCATTCTGAGCGAGGTTTTTTGTTTGTTTGCTTGCTTGCTTTTGAAACGTAAATAACTATTTTCAAAGTTATTTTTACAAAGCAGACCCCGCTGCTACCTCGCAGCGCAAATTCAGTGCCTATTGCTCATTTCAAACCGTGTAGGACCGCAAGGGCTGAGGAAGGACAGAACGAGCATCCGAATGGAGGACGTGGTTTGTGTTAGCTCTGAAACCTGTACCTGCCGAAGCTCTCGCACAAATCTCATCGGCAAAAATAATCGTCTCCTGCTTAATCATTCTGTGCCCACGCGTGCCACCACGAGAGGTTGAATGAGCTGACTTTGTGTCACTACAATGGCATTGTAATCAGCGTGGCACTCACACGTGACTTGGATTACTGTTATTCCTAAACCGAGTAGCATTCTTTCAGCACTGTTTGCCTAAGAGTATACAAAATGCAATTCCCTTTTGGCCAAAGACTATAATGAGGGATTTTCCAGCGTTTGGGGAAGCGTGTGGCTTTTTACTGGAACAGGAGATTTAAATTGAATCTAAGCAATGCCCGTGACACGAAATCCTGCCTTATCTTCACAAGAGTTAGATTCAGTTTCGAATCCTGCCGGTCGGGGACACGTTTGTACTCTGGAGCCTGAGCCGCCTCACGAGCTCTCTAAGAGCAGCCACCGCGATGTGTCGCGACGCGCGGCTTTGCCGGTGTCACCCGTCCCCTTCTCGAGCACCTATTTTCCCCCGTTCCTCCCTCGAAGGAAGGAGCCCAGCATCTCGCTCCGTGCATTTCTGCTTCGCAGCACGGTCAGCGGGGCAGGCAGCGGGACGGCGGCCCGGCGGGAACTGGGCAGAGCCCGAAGCCGTCCGGTTCTCGCCGCTCGCGTTGCCCGCCGGGCAGGTGCGCCGAAACGGCGGCTCCGGGCTCGCCCAGCGGGCGGCTCACGGCCACGGGGGGTCGAAGCGGCCCGGCGGGGCCGCGAGGAGAGCGGCGCAGCGACGGGCGAGCAGCTGCCCCGCACGGGCAGGGGAGCAGGGCAGGCAGCACCTTGACAGCTCGGGAAAGGTTCCGTCGTCCCCTCTCGCGTACCTGTCCGGGGCGCAGCACGGACCGCAGCTATCTAGAAAGGCAGAGTCGAGAGCGCTGCCTCGCCCGACCTCTGAAACGCTTCGCTCGCGGCGAGATGCGAGCGAAACGTCCGCCGTGCGCCAGCCGGCCCCCCGCCCGAGGCGATCTCCGGGGCTCGGCCGGCGTCGGGGCGCAGCTGCCGGGGGCATTTCGCATTTCCCTCGGAGCGCTGAGCCGCGCCGCGGTAACGCGGGGGAGGAAGCGGGACGGCTGGTGCAGGCGGCAGCACCTCTGCGAGGGCACGGCTCAGTGCGGACGGAGCGAGGTGCAAAGGTGATAAAGGCCGGGGGAAAAAAGGTTTGAGCGCTGCTCGGCGCTGATGGAGACCCCGACCGTGCAAATATTTGCATCCCGGATTAGCTGTGGAGCGGTGAAGTCGGGGAGGTCACGTCCAGATATCCGCGGACTGAGGACCCAAATGCCCTCGCACGCGTGCCGCCCCCCGGGCTTGCGCCAAAGCGAGCCGCTCCCTTCGGAACGAGGCGCAGAAGGGCTCTCTCGCCCCCATGTTCCAAAGCCATTCAGTCTGCTATTTATCTGAACTGGCCAAGT